AAAAAACATCACACGATTCACGCCGCATCGAGCAGACTAGACCATCACGTATCTTCCTCTGGAAAAGCCTACCCAAAAAACACGCTTCCGAGGGCTGCGCGCTGACTCAGCGCTTCACCACCACGCGCCTCCTTTCTCCCTCCAAGAAGATCTTCTTTTTCCCCCCTTCCCCGCTCTCGCTGGGTCGCTGGCATATTCTCTTCCTTTCTCCGCCTATCCCGCGGCTCATCACCGAAAGAACAAGATGACGCTGTTCGCGGCGGCACTCACTGGAACCCGATCTCGCATATCCGCATCCCTCTCCGCGGCGGCGAGCTACTCGGCCTGCGTCTCTTTATCCCCGTCGACGAATTCTATTTCGGGATCTCCTCCTTGCTCCACTGCTGCGCGCAATTTTCATGACTGGCGATCTCCCCTCAGCCACCGCGCGGCCGTCCGCTCTTCGACTGTTGTTGCGGATCGGTTCGAACGCCGCTTCGCCACTGCCGGTAAGAGGCGGTGTATTTTCTCTCGGCCCATTAGGGTTGTTTGGATTGAAGGAAAGTGGAGGAATGTCATGAAATCCCAACAGTTTATGGGTTGATTATGAATATGCAGCATTGTAGATGTTGATTTACGCTTTTCAATTTCCTTTTACTCAAATTCCGAGCATCCAAAAACAGCCTTAGTATTCTATGCGAATTCTGGGTTCTGATTTGCTTCATTTAATTGACAGCTTCTCGCAACTCGTATGAGGGCATTTTGACTCCGCTAGCGAAACCCGGCGGCGGGGAGTTTGGGAAGTATTATAGTCTGCCGGCGTTAGATGATCCTAGGATCGGTGAGTTATCTGATGAAATGTTGGTGTTGATGTATGATGGTTTGAGCTTTTCGTTAATTCTTGTTGGGGGATGCAGATCGATTGCCGTTTTCGGTGAGGATTCTGCTGGAATCGGCGATCCGGAATTGTGATGAGTTCCAGGTTACTGGGAAGGATGTGGAAAAAATTATTGATTGGGAGAATTCAGCACCGAAGCAGGTCGAGATTCCCTTCAAGCCTGCGCGAGTTCTCCTTCAGGTTCTCTCGTGTCTTTGACTTCCTTTAAGTGTTTTTTTTTTTGGTTAAATAACTGAGAATATTTTCGCCATTTCTTGGTTTATGTCCTCGTTTTTATCTGCTTTGTATTTTTCTATATACTTTTTGTGCTAATTATTCCTATATAGGTTTTTTAAAATTTCACCATTCTTTGGTGTTTGTAGCAAAATGCCTAATTTCAACTCCAAGTAGCATCTTTTTTAGGAATAACAGAATTCGTAGAGATGTTAAAATAAGGAAAGTAATTAAATTCTTTACAGTTTTAAATCGAAAGATAGCATCTCCTTAAAAAAAAAAAAAGATAAGGTAAATGGGTATTGGGCATAAACTCTGTTGCCAAGTCCTACAAACTCTCTTCTATATCAAAATTTTCATGACTTTTCTTCTATTTACGAAGCTGGCTCTACTTTTGTGTAGAACCCATGTTTCTTTGCGATCTTTCTTCTCGACAGTGGCCTTTAGAGAGCCCTATTCAGCAGGCCGTTCAGGAAATGTTGTTATAATAAGATTTGACATAATTTGACTATTCTTTTGCTTATATCCACACCTCTACGTGCAGGATTTTACTGGCGTTCCAGCTGTTGTGGATCTCGCATGCATGCGTGATGCTATGAACAAGCTTGGCAGTGATTCCAACAAAATCAATCCTTTGGTAAGTTTTTCTTCTTTTAACAGATTAAGGACCAACAGAGAAATTCCAATTAGATATAGCCAGAAGATTCAAGCTTGTACATTTGCTTTATGTGCTATTTTACCTATGAACTACATGGTTTCTACCAGTAATATGCCCTACGCTTTCATCTCACTATTTCTTCGTTTATGTTGCTTTCTTAACTCGATTTGCTAAATATGAGACTCTAATAAAGGAATCTTCTATTTTATTGTTTGATTTCTGTTGCATAACTTTGCCACATATAACAAAATTGTACACTAGAGAACGTGATAACTCAGTTAAGACAAATATACTATTGGATGAACACTCAAAAACCAAAAAGCTTAAGCAAATGGGCAAATGCCACTTCTAGATTTTCCAATCTCAACTCTTATTGCCATCTTTGATGTGGATTAATTTTTCACTCATATGCAAACTTTAACAATCTCCCTCTCAGATAAGAGTCCTTCAAATCAATCATCACTCTCTTCAAATAGAAGCTTTTCAATTGCATAACTATCAAGCTCAAACGGCCCACTCAACCACATGGAGTCTTTGTGGGAGCCACTCGCTCTAGAACCTTGATTAAACAATGATAGAAGTTGCCAAGTGCTATGGAGTCATAAACCACATTGAACATAACTCTTGATTCTAGCTTAGTTATTAGATCTAATATCACTTATCAAGAGGTTGAAACATTGGGAGACCCTAGTTGAACTTAATATATTAGCTTATATATAATACCATCTACCTAAAGCTTGTTGTCTATCATCTATTAGTGTATTAGGATCAATTAAGTCAGACAATGTTCACCTTACTACATGTATCTACTTGTGTATTGTGATCAATTATAATCCCCTCACTTGATTTAATTCGGCACATATATTGTGTTAATGGCTTATCCGATTAGGTTTTGTCAAACCATTCTTTTAAACCATTCTAACTTGGCTTTTTAACATCATGACTTAGGAATCTCTTTGCAACAAATTGTTTGTGGCAAAGGCCTTGGCCATTTGGGCCGATTGACATTGGACATGTTTTTTTTTTTTTAAGTGCTTAGTCTTTAGCTTTTGATATTCAAGTGCTAGAGAAACCAATTTAGATCGTCTGTCCCACCTTGAGCACATTGTCTTCCTCAAAATGTTTACGTTTGTTTCATGTATACCAACAATCTTTCATGTGTATACACCAAACATTCTTATGTTTTCATTGTCATATATTTGTTTGCACCATAGACAAACTATCATAGAAGTGTCTTCTTTTCACCAAAAACCAGATTTCTTATTTTGTATTGATAAGGAAACTGTCTGAAAAAAATTGTTTTTGTGTGGATGCTATCATCTAGTAATAATGTTAATGTGAAATTGATTTTGCAAGAGGGGAAAAACAGTAATTATTTGGAGTGCTTATCTTTGCTATTAATTTTAATGTTTGAGACTGGTTCTTTGTTCCATGCATAAATAAGTTGTGGAAAGCAAATAACAAGGAGGCAAGGAGCAGAAGTGAAAAGTAAAGATCCATATTGTTTCTTGTACAATTCTTTCTTTCATTCCTTTTGACTTATACAGGTGCAAATATGCAAAACAAACTCTCTATAGGCAAACTATTAAATAACTGATTTTGTTTTAGCAAGGTCTTATCATATAATCTCTGTATGATTGTATAGATCCCATCAAAATTGGTTATAAAAGTATCATCTTAATCCTTTTCCTGATTTTGGGTTGCACGATAAATTGTTTGTCGAAGTAATAATAATTATGATTATAACTAATGGATTTATTATAATGAATGGATTGAACCTGATCCATTGTTATTTATGTAAAGTAGTTCTTGGAAGCAACCTCTTCTGAGAGCTAGACTACTGCATTTCTTAAACGAATAGAAGCCTGATTGCCTTTAACTGAATCAAATTTCTTAGTAAGTGGCTTGTTATGGTTGCTGACCTTAGCGAACATTTGGTGCATTGTCAAAATCTGCAGTGAATAAAGTTTATTTTAAATCTTCAATATTTGGACTTATGACATCTTGTGTGTAGAAATTGAAAGGGCCTGTTATATCATACGATTTTCTGTGACTTCATATTGTTTATATTTCCCCATTTGGACATTCCACTGATTGAAAACACATAGTTACAGCTTAAACATCCCATAATTACACTGTTTCTTTTCTGTTTATTTCCATCTTTCTCCAGCAGCCACAAGATGCATAAAATTTCGTTTTGCAGGTACCTGTGGATCTTGTTATTGATCACTCCGTCCAGGTTGATGTTGCAAGATCAGAAAATGCTGTCCAGCAAAACATGATACTTGAATTTCAGCGCAATAAGGAAAGATTTGCATTTTTGAAATGGGGATCAAATGCATTCCACAATATGCTTGTCATTCCACCTGGGTCTGGTATAGTCCACCAGGTAACTTGGTCCATGAGAGCTTCAAGCTACTTTTTTGCCCTCTTTACGTTGCTTTTATTTATGATATCAGAAGTCAAGGGATTAAGTTCTGGACGGTTAAAGTTTGTTGTATTCCATTCTTTTGATACTTTTGACTAATGTTTTCCAGGTGAATCTTGAATACCTTGCTCGTGTTGTTTTCAACAATGGAGGGATTCTTTATCCAGACAGTGTGGTTGGTACTGATTCTCACACAACTATGATAGATGGGTTAGGTGTTGCTGGCTGGGGAGTTGGTGGAATAGAAGCAGAAGCTGCAATGCTGGGTCAGGTATCAAATTATGTTTTGGGTCTTCCACCACATGGTTTAGAATTTCCTTTGTAACCATTGTTGCATATTATCCCATTATATTGTCAAAAATATATTGTTGAAGCGTGACCCATTATTCTTTCACCTGTCTTCTTAATGGTTGTTCTATTTTCAATGCTATTTCTCCTTTTTGCATCTACCTTGATTTGATGAAGTCATCATCATTCTACCGTGACTTAGTGTAGATTTATAGATTCAGACTTGTTAAACTTGGTCCACATATTTATGCCCTCTTAAATCTTTGCATGAGCCCAATTTCACACGTCTGCTGTGGTTGGAATGGTCTTAGATGTTACAATACATCCTATATACCTATCCCCTCACTATGGTATCATTAATAGATTGCCTCAAAGGGTTTTGCCGCCATTCTCTTTTATTGGATTTATGATATTGTTGACTTACTATCCTTTTGCATCTGCTTTTGATGTATTGAGTTAAGCAAACTATTGAGCTTTGGTTCCATCAATTTTGCTTCTTTTTATTGTGGTATTACCCATATGCTTGTTAAGGGTAAAAGAGATATTTTTGAAACAAGCGCCTATATATTGTGGAAAAATTTTCACTTCTTATAGTATGTGGTTTGGGTACAAATCTATAGCAGCAATGTTTGTTTTATAAATAGCACAGGACTTTTGTCTACTTGTCAGATTGACTTCTGTAATTTGTCTTTTGTAAGTTATTTTATTGACCTGAATGGGAAAATTGTGTAGATATATTCTTGTAGTGAGGTCCTGGTGATGAGATTCTTAATATGCCTATAATTCAGAAAATGACTCTGCTAGGCTCCAAAATTCTGATTTTTTCCTGTCAAATGTAAAAAAGCTGAGTTTTAATGAAACTAATATGTTGTATTTTTCTCCAAGAAATGGATATTATTTCTCTCACTTTCATCTAATTAATTCTTACCTTATAGCAAAGCAAAGTTAAATTTGGGTGTCTCACCAACTGTCTCTGGTCCATTGCTCTAGATTCCTTCATCAAGGCAGGCAAAATTATAGGTTCTCAGTCATCTATGAATCTATGACCTCTCTCTTACAAGTTTGATTACATTATGCTCTATCATTTATTTTATCCATGCTATTCCTTAGTTTAAGGTTCGCACTTTTTTTCTCCATCACCATCCTTCCTATCTGCTTCATACTTATTTTGCATTTTTCCGTTTATCATAATCATCATAGCTTGCAATAGACTTTGATAATTTTGTTAGTTATTATTTTTGGTACTTGATTTTCTTTCTTGATTATAACCTCATGTCATATTCCTTTCCATGAATAACTTTTTATGTTTATTAAGTGCAGCCGATGAGCATGGTTCTTCCTGGAGTTGTGGGATTTAAGTTATCAGGAAAACTGAGGAGTGGCGTGACAGCTACTGACTTGGTCCTAACTGTGACACAAATGCTTCGGAAGCATGGCGTTGTTGGGAAGTTTGTAGAATTCTATGGTAACAACTAACAACACATATTTGCATTTTATGGATCAGTTTTTATATTATAATTTGCAAAAAGTTGAACCCTAATGCATTATTGTTACTTTAACTGCTAGTATTTTTGAAATCCTTGATCATCTGCTTCACGTTTGCTGGCTGTAGGGGATGGAATGCGTGAACTTCCTCTAGCAGATAGGGCCACTATAGCTAACATGTCACCTGAGTATGGAGCAACCATGGGATTCTTTCCTGTTGATCACGTCGCCTTGCAATATCTGAAGCTGACTGGCAGAAGTGATGAAACTGTAAGCTGTTGACACGACTGCTTTTAGTGTGTTGTTTTACGTATTGTTTTGATTAATAATTCCCTTGTCATTTTGTAGGTTGCAATGATAGAGTCATACTTACGAGCCAATAAAATGTTTGTTGACCACAGTCAGGTAAATTTGTCCTTTAGAGTTGTCATGATAATTTTTTGCAGCTCTCATGATCGTGACTTGTTATTTTACTCTTTACAACCATTTGGGAACTTCAGGTCGAAGTAGAAAGAGTATATTCATCATATTTAGAGCTGAATCTGGAAGAAGTAGAGCCATGCATATCTGGACCGAAGAGGTACAATCATAGGGTTGACAGTGATGTCTTTTAAGTTTTAACTGATCAAAAGATACATATGAAGGCCTTAATTTTCTTATCTTGTTGGAATCTGATCTATCCTATCTTGGAAAACCATTTCGTCATAGGCCCCATGATAGAGTTCCCTTGAAGGAAATGAAAGAAGATTGGCAATCTTGCTTAGACAGCAAAGTGGGATTTAAGGTGAGCTCCTTATATTCATTCTCAACTTGCATGAATCTTGTTAGTTTATATGAAGTTTCACAAAATGTCTCATTGCCCAATTCATTGAAAAACTTGGTTCTCTGCATCATTATGGTAAACCAGAACATCAAGTCAGGTAGCCACTCTGAAGGTTGTAAGTTTATGATTTATCAGCTACAAAAACAAACTGGATGTATTTTTTAGTATTGCATGAGTTTATCTCAATGTCTATTAGTCCAAACTGTTGGTGCTTTATGTCGCCTGACAAAGTAGCATTTTTACTTTTGTATTGCACAATAAACAATTGTCTGGCTTATTTGGGTTCCACTTTCCATCCCACTAGAAAGATGACAGTCTATTATCTAGATTTTTTTTTTTTAAATGAACTGATTCACGCTCATTTCCTAACTCAAAAAACAGTACGAATCCTTTGAGTTTTCTTGCTTCTGGAATATCCATAAATGTTAAACTCTGGAACAATATTTGTAGTATGGAATTCTGGGATTAATTACAACCGTTTGAAATCATATCCTGAAAGAAAGAGCAAAGTGCACGGACCATTTATATTTTTTATCATTGTCCAATTGTGTAGATAGTCACATAAAAGCCTGTTCTGGCTTGACGGTGAATAAAAACTAAAAGATACGTAATAATGATACAATATATTTTTTCAGTATGTTCTAAATACTTATGCATATAAATTAATATAGGTCATTTAATACATGTTAAACATACAAGCCCTCAGGCCAAATACCTGGTTTGGGCTTCTTTATGGGCAATCAGGGCAAGGCCTGAACAGAGATTCCAGGTTTGGTTTTTAGTCTGGTCTTCCTTCTGACCTTTTTCAGAGAGGACCAGGTTCGCCTTATAACAGACTTGTTTCAATTTGATTTTCTGTCCATGGCTTAAACAGCATTTGTGCAGTTCATCGCATGAAGTTCCCTAGTTTTAATCACATTGAAGTTGTTTGCTAGACAGTCCACATTTTTTTCATCATTATTTGCAATCTTAAAACAATTCAACATATGAAAGGATACCTGCTACTCTACTTTGGAATAACCTTCTACACAATGATTTTTTTTTTGGGTTAAAATATAAGAGTGCTTTCAGCTGGTAATATTTAAATGACAATTATGCTGGGTTGTGCAGCTTTGATTTTTTTAAAATTTCCTTCTATAAACCACAACTTCACAAACTTCTGAAATTCACTTGAAGACAACCACGAATGGTGCAATCAAAACCATTATGTTCGTAACATGAAAAGCAATGCATTAACAAAATTACAAACAAGCTAATAAAGTCGTTGACATGCAATAAAAACATTGCAAAAAAAAAAAAAAAAAAAAAAAAAAAAAATTAAAAAAAAAAAAAAAAAAAAAAGAGTATGTTATGATGAAGTTTCTTGTGTTTTGATCTTCCTTCTACTGTTGGTAAACTCATATGCATGATTTGCATTGATTCTGTGGTGCCTACTTGATGTTTTCCTCATTTGTTCCCTTGTCAGGGTTTTGCTATACCACATGAATCCCAAAAGAAAGTTGTAGATTTTACTTTCAAAGGGGAGCCAGCTCAGATAAAACACGGCGATGTTGTTATAGCTGCAATCACTAGTTGCACAAATACTTCAAATCCTAGTGTGATGCTTGGAGCTGCTTTGGTTGCGAAGAAAGCTTGTGATCTTGGACTTGAGGTTGAATTTTAGATTTTCTACCTGAGCTTCATGTTATTACTTGTTTCAGTGTTGTTTATCATTCTTATGACTTTTCAAATTGATCAAACGGATAACTAGCATCCTACACAGCTGTTGATCCCGAAAAACAATTTATTTGTGTAATTAATATGTTCTCTTTCATTTGGAATATCATAAACTTGCTGTCTGTCACCAAATATGCCATACTTCTATTTCAAGGACCATTTTCCTTTTTAAGTTACGCTGGTATGCAAATCTTTGCAATTATTTACAAGAAATTCTCAATCAGGACCTTTGTAATCATTTAAGTGAAGCCGAGTCTTATGATATATAACTTAAACATCTGGCAATTTCTTCTTTTAAACGGGCAAATATCTAGGAAATGATATATTTTGACTTGGCCACTTACCACTACATTTCTGCGTGATGTTTTATGAGCTCATGTAATCATGCATAAAAGACTGGCCAGGTGTGGGATATCTGTTTGTTCAAGCCGTTTGGGCTTCTATGGAAATGTTGCTTCCAAATTATCTTTCAGTTGGCTGGATACAATGAATTTGTTGTGGTTTGTAGTTTCTGCAACTGGAATAATGTTTGTAGAAGTAAACTTTTCCTGTTTGGGTTTCTTTCTCGTTTTTCAATCTCCTTTTTCCTTGAAATATAAGCAATCTCTCTCTCTCTCTCCCCCTCCCCCCCCAATCACCCTTCACACCCCAGATATGCTCTCTTCCTCCATTTTACGTGTGAATTCATTCAACAGTGCATATCTTAATATTGATATGTGGTTCTTGTTGTTTTTAGGTGAAACCGTGGATTAAGACTAGTCTTGCTCCGGGTTCTGGTGTTGTTACCAAGTACTTGGAAAAGAGGTAAAGTAGTCCTTTTGTTTTGAAGGGCTTAAACAGACTTTGAGTTAGAAATTCCTAAATATATTTTCCCATCCCTTATGCAGTGGCTTACAGAGATACTTGAATCAGCTTGGTTTCCACATTGTTGGATATGGTTGCACCACCTGTATAGGAAATTCTGGAGACATTGATGAAGCGGTTGCTTCTGCTGTTACTCAGAATGGTAGGTTTTCCTTTTTTGTTGATCAATTAATCCGGGTTTCTATAGTAAGAATTTCCTCTTTATATAATTTTGACGGTGATTAATTTGCAGATATTGTTGCTGCTGCTGTCTTGTCTGGAAATAGGAATTTTGAGGGACGTGTGCATCCTCATACCAGGGCAAACTATCTTGCTTCCCCTCCCCTTGTGGTAGCATATGCTCTCGCGGGCACGGTATTGATCCATTTTTTTTTAATCAGTTGTTGTGTATGTTAAGTATTTGAGTCATTATTGGAATCCTTTTTACTGATATTTTGGTCCATCCATATTTTATTTTTCTCAACTATTGTCAATATTCTGCTAGCAATGTGCAAACATCTACAAAAAATGCTTTTGATTTTCCTCTTTAATACTACATATTATGTTAGTTAGTATGAATCAAAGGGTGAGTAAAGCTAAGCTTGATATACCAATGATTTATTTTCAACCTAAAAAATTCCAGTCTATATATGAGGATCAACTAATCAGTATTTCTACACCAACTTATTTTTTAACTATTTAATTTGGGAATACTGTGGGCTCCGAAAATTCGGCCCCGGCCTCCCCGCCACGCTTCATTTTGCTTTTGGCGAGGGGAGTTTTAACTGAATAAGTTCCGAGGTAAATTTTGGAAGGCAGATGGGTTTGTAGATAAGACACTACCCAGAGATTTCGCCCTCATTTTGCGAGGACTTTATGATATGAGTTATGGTTTCCTATATGCGCAAGCCCCTATAGTTAATTACCCCTCCCGATCACGAGAGAGAACTTTCGATTAAGGCTAGTCATCAATCAGATACGTAGAGTATACGTGTTATCTGGAATATAGTAGCAGCGATGGGTTGAGGGAATCTGGAAATTGATAGGTTGATGTTTAAAATAGAAGTTGCACCATCTTGCACTTAAAGCAGATGGTGGGGGAATGGATGATGTACCCGATCAAGATCCCATGGTTCCGTCGTCCCGGGCCATTGTGGTCCATGGTCTACTTAGTTAGAGGAGGTAGTCGACCCAACCTGACAGAAGGATCCTTGTCGGCAGCCATGGGTTACTTCATCCAATAGGACCTTGTAGACCTGGGGTGAATATTTGCCTGATGGGACAAATTTGAATCCACCTTACCTAATAGAGGGCTTTGTGCCCTATCAATCATATCCTATGGATTCATATCTCAAGGATTTAATGCCAATAAGAAGCGTATTGGCTCTGGCCATAACCG